AGTCAATTTGCATGTGCTTTTGTGCCTTTGGTTTTTTTTAATGGCCGCGATAGCAAGCTGAAGTTGTTAAATAGCTGCGATGGCACAGAAATGTTGTTTGTTAAACGTGTTTTAAGTTTGATGTAAGTATTTACGGGAAGAAAGCTACTAGCTACCTACATGTTTATTTAGAGAAGACATTAGAAGTGAATGAGTTGTGTGACAAATAACTTAGTTAAGTACCTATGGAAAGTCAACTATCAAATCAAAACAAAGTTTGACGTTAGTCACTGTTAATGACAGATCACAATAGTATATTTGTAGATAAACATTTTCTCTCGTCAGATACGATATAGGTACTTACGTGTCAACCGTTATATTTAAACTGAAGCCGACATTTCCCACATAACTGAAACCCATCCGTCTTCCTCGCGAATGAAATTCACAAAATACTCGCAGCCTAGATAGTAGAAAATAAAATAAAATAGCAATAATGAGACGTTAATAGCCTGTTACGAAATTATTTCATAAGACAAGTGACCAATTAAAAAGAGTAATGACTATACAAGATCGCAGGTGACCATTTGCAAGCTGCGCGCGCACTTAAATTACGTACAATGTAAATTAACGGTCGGTATGCGCAGGAGTCATCTGTCATAATCGTGGACTCTGAAAGACGGTAGTCCACTAGTATTATAGATTCCTGTTATTATCTTAATGAAGATGTTCCAATAGTAAAGTAGGACTCTATTTTTATGTTTCTGTAAATTATATGGTAGGAATAAAATTTTCTTTATAACGTATTCTTCAATGACGTATGCATGTAAATAATTATCTAAAGTAATTCATGAAAATATAACAGCTTGATAGAATAGAAGAAAAATTTATCAGTTATATGAAAAAGCACAATTTGACAGCAGTTGTTTCCATTTTTGTTGCAAAACAGTTTTTTAATTAAATTAAGTACGATAGATACGATAGATACGTACCAGTGTGAAACTAAATCTTCAATAATCAAATATTTCCAAAAATTTATGACACAAACAAAATAAGGACGGCCATTTTTAAAAATTTAAAGGGCGCGGTCCCGTTCAGAAATACGCATCAATTTGTCAACGGTAGGCGTTCCAACAACGGTTAATTGGTAAAGAACAGCTGCTGATAAAAACGTTCTTTGTTTATTTAAAATTTATACGACACGCCCCGCGTTATTTTTTACACTGTTTTATAATAAAACACACATAATTTTCATGTTATCGAACCAATAAGTACTACTTTATCTCAATGTCATGTATTGACACTATTGGCACTTTAATTAAATGCCTTCGTTAAAGGGAAAAAATGTTGGTTGTCTATGAATTATGTTTTATTTTTTCTATTTGAATTTCTGCTTGAGCAGTTGCTTCGTTGATATTTAAAATTACGACAATTTTAATTCATGTGTAAATTGTAAATTGACGTCTACATTAAACTTTGACTGACAGTCTTCCTAAGTCTAGCAAGCTTTTGTGTCCATAATATCCCGTCTAAGAAAGATGTTACATTCAGGATTTTCGTAAGCTCCAATTTAAAACACGACTTAACAAGAAAATGTTTAATTAAACAGTTAGCACGGGTCGACTAAGATTTGTTAAAAAAACATTACATCAATGTAATCTTTACTACTACTCTTCATCTTCAGGTTTAAACCAGCATGGTTAGGTACTGTAAAAGCAATAAGAATTTCTGATGAAAAAGTCTCATATCATCAACCATTTCTTTAGCACAAGTTGCAGTCGGCACAGTCCGCTACTTTTATCCAAGTTTTATTTTAGATTTAAATTAGGTAGCAGCTATCTTCGGGCGACATCTAAGCAGAGGGATCAGCAGTAAATTACCGCTGAACTGGAGCGATGCACCACCGCATTGTATGCAGATGTGCGGACATCCGACCACGTCTACCACAAACATTTGCATCAACTTTCGGAACAAGAAATTTGTAAATAAACGTCTCTCGTACCTAATTATAACCTCCATAGCCATGCACCGTAAAAACATTCCCCGTTAAAGTAATACTGCAGATATTATCGTCAAATACCACAAATGAAAGTAGAGATACGTTTATCTGACAATTTATCGTACGCAGGTGCCGCATCTAAACACAAACGTAGCTACACAAGCCGTCGTTATCGAATATCATTTTCAATTATATAAACAATAGCGATCGCCAGCCATTGTTCAAATCACAATAGCATCGCTCATTACTCAGACGCTCGTTAACTCACTGGCCGCCGCGAAACACTAACTTTATCAGAGGGCCACGTCAAAATATCTACAGATCTCAAACTATATCTCCGTCCGACACAATCGAGCTCAAATAAAAGCAAAGAACCGAACATGACGCCTGAACGCAGCCCAGAAGCCAGATGCGTATCGACGCGCCAAAAAGCAAAATTCGAGTTTCGAATCCCGCCGGTGATATGACGTTTCCCGCGTTCCTTTTTCGAATGTGCCCGCGAATTGTCAACCGTCGCATAGACAACGAGCACATTTGAATACCGCCGATTTGAATATAAAGGTCGGCATTCACGTGTCGCCGCCATACATCAACCGGGAAGGCTTTAAGTCTTTCGAGCGCTTTTCGGACACAAATAAGCGTCTGATGTTCGACAGGACGCGCATAATACGGTCAGATTTAGTTCGGCCCCGACGCGAGCTGCACCGCGCCACTATTTATGAGACGTACGTGATGAAAGCGCGTTTACTTTGCCGGCTATTTTGCGAACGGGGTGTGAATGTTTTAACTGCACCAGGCTCGTCTCAACCTCATTCCACGGCGCTTATGTAAATGACGACTACAAATGCATTAAGATAATCATTTAAAATATTTATAGCGTGTAAATGTCGATATTAAGGCGGGTAGACACCCACGACAGAGAGTCCGTATCGTCTTCGGCCATATTTCATTTGGCCACAATTACAACCATTAAACGGAGCGCAACTCTTTGATATTTCTTATTTTATTTATTGTAGCAAACTTATTAGGATACCGTGGCATTAATGATGACAGATGAGGCGGGGTATCGGAGCTTAATGCGCTCCGTAGCGGGCTGTGGACTGCGCTCCGGCCGGTCGGGTCCGAGGCACTTGATGATAGTTTAAAATATATTTAGGTAAATCATTTATTTCATTTCGAACGCGAGCATTCACTGTATTGACCACGTACCCATGTATAGACATGCAGATGTCCATTTCATTGCATTATCTACCTACTCATAGACCGACCGGCGACTCGACTGTAAGTAATTACTTAACGGCCACTTGAAAACGCAAACGGCAAAGATATCGAGTGAGTATTAAAGACGCGTAATTGAAAACAATATTTAATAGTATTTTATCGCGACAGAACATTGCATTTTATTAATGACTGGACGGCACAATCTGCATAACAAAACTATTACGGTCAAAGAAACGCATAGAAATGAGCTCCTTTGTTTTAAAGAAACATGCCCCTCAATTAATTGGGTAATTATCAATTTGGATTCCAAGAAACTAACTACATAATGTCTCGTATATTTTTCTCCAAAGGGGGCTAGAGCTATATAGGTACAGTAGCGACAATGTTAATATCAGTTAATATCATTCTCTTTAGCCTCACAGGGGGATAATTTTGAAAATGAGGTTAAAGTACTTTTTCTTATTATCGTGAAACAGTACCTCTGATACCAGTGCCATAGTAACAAAGTCATAGACAAATTAGCGCAGATCGAATCTATTCCGAATTTGAATAGCGGACGCACCGAACGGAAATACGTTGTTTTTACCGCGTTTTAATTTAATTTGAATTTGGAATGTCGTTGCTCGGTTGGCACCCCGCTGCGCTTACAAATGGCGGCTATAGATCACGTCGATGATATCTCTTTCAGCTTTTGAAATCAACCCGGCGTGGCCAGCAAATTAATATATTTTATAAGTATGTAAAAAGATTACCCCACATTGTGAAATATGAGGAGGTAAAACATGTTAAAAATTACCCGCTTGGACAGTGGCTAGACATTTAAACTCGGCTGCGGTGTAACAATTTATAAATTTTCCTTGGCTCAAAATTATGACTAAGTTGATAATAAAAAAAAGTAATTGGGGCCGAAAGACGTCATTCGTATGTGAAATTAATTGTAACACATAATTAAGATTAGTCACAATAGATTATCGTGTTACGGAGAGGGTTAAAGCTATTAATTATGTTGTCACGATGGGCGATATGTTGCTTAAAACTCGCCTGCGTAAATTACATGATGTTCATTTTAAATAAAGGTTATTAAAATACTTACCTACCTAAATATTTCAGAAAATAAGTAAATGTAGGTTCTGAGAAATATTATAGAATATGAATTAAGGCATTATTAGGTCTGGAACATTTGACTTCAAAACTCCTAACAAAAAACCTAATTATTACTTTTACCTTCTTATTGTTTATGATATTCTAATGAAATTATGTGTTATTGGTTTGATTTACTAAAACTTAGCGAGTATTCGTTACAAATTCTATCTTTCATTTAAATACGAAGAACTTTATAGCGCCTGTATGAAATATGAGAGCAACCATTTGCAGCTTTACTATTTTCTCGTTATATGTTTCCCCAACAGGCGCAGCAAATAATAAGGTAGTGGCTAGCGTATAAAGGTAAAATTATTCATGTATTTTTACTATATTTATAAAAATTTACTGATTATTACAATTTAATAATAAAAAAAATTAAAGACAAAATTTTAAATTTCAAATCAATATTTTACTGGCAACTCTAACAATCTGTCACCCTGACAATGTCAATGTCACACTTACTTGACAGATCGCTGTCACAACATTCCTGTCAGTTGCACAAGTGGAAGAGGACCCAAACAAAAAATTAATATTCAATCCCCACCACGGAGTGCAGCTTTCACCATGGTACCGGTGTTCCTGAATCACTGCTTCGCAGCGGCATATACTGTTCGCCGGCCGACATCTGACGCACAAGCTAACTATAACTGTTTATTTACCAGGCCACATCAATGTTCGCGAGAGTGACTTTCTATCCAACATTATTATACAATGTGGTCATGGAAAAGGTGACCAGCAGGCGCTGGTATGACAGGATGGATGATACAGTCATCCTAGGAGCCCTTCCTTTCCAAAGTATGGCGAAACAAGTAAGTGTTACAAACTTTTTTGAGGTTACTATATCTGTCACCTATTTTTTTTAAATATATTTTTTTAAAGTCATGGAATTTCATAGTAGGTCGGTAGTGAGCCTATGGTCAATGGGTCATTTCCTACGGCCTTGTGCCAGTTGGAATAGTAAATAGTATGACCACTGTGTACTTATACATATTTGTCATTCAAGTTATGTGGTATTCTTACACTATTTGAATGGTAATGCCTCCTAATATTAAAGTTAAATATTTGCTTCAATAGAACTGTGAATTAAAATGAATTCTGTTCAGATTGTCTTTTATAATTTGTAACTTTTTGTTAAGGTTGTGATTGTATTCATTCATAAATTGTACACTTAATATAATATTTAATTTATAAATTAATGCACATTACTGACACAAACTAATTAGTTTCATACCGTTGTGGCTGTACTTATACAAAAAAAATCTGATTTATTGGAATGATAAAATAAGTGGCCATTCAATAAATAAGTACTAATTAAAAAACAAACTAAATTACTTAAATATTTTGTTCATAAATTTTAAGTTTATTAATAGTTAGTCATATTCCCATTGCCCTACAAACAAAAAACTAGTGAATTACCTATTTGCTATTTTGAAAGACATTAAAAAATGGCAATAATGTCATTGATCAGAAAAAATTGAACTTATTTTAATTTAATGGTGATTCATTTAATTTCACAAAGGTTAAATTCCAAAGCAATTAGTTTAATCTGTCAAACACCAAGCGGTCACCGGTGACCGCGACCTATTGTTCTTTAATTGTGTCTATAAAACCGGTACTCGACGAGTTAAGTAATAATGTAACTAACTGAATTATAACTGCAATAAATGCATTGTTTGATACTGTGTGAAATTTGAATGAATTAACCATGAACAGATCTTTGCATATTTTTCAAATAAGTTGTAGTAGAATATTTTATACTGTTTTTAAAGTTGAAACATATTTACATTTTATCTAAATTTTGCATTGCAATATTATGTAACGAAACTCTATGTAACAATAGACTCTCCTGGAGTTACAAGTGGAATATTAACCCTAACATATTATAGCAATTGTTATTGAATTATTGTACTTATTTTTATTTTATATATTTTTTTTAATGTGCTGCCTGACTGATTGACCTAGGAATCGAACTCGAGACCCCTTGTCCGGCAGTCGCACTTGCGATCACTCGGCCAACGAGGCAGTGTAGATTATGATCTAGAATAACACACAGTATACTTCTTATCCGTGTTAGGAACGCAGGTGAATCCATTCGCAGAAGCTTGTAAACAATAATTTTAAATAGTATTATTAAAGTACGCCTTTCAAAAATTTATTTTAACATGTAATGTTTCATGTTTCAGTTGAAGGAAGAAGAAAACATGAAAGGAGTAGTTTCAATGAATGAAACATATGAACTGAAGATATTCTCTAATGATGCTGAGGTGAGTAATCTTACATCTTAATCAATTTAAAAAAACATAACAGTATATTTTAGACCAGCTACTTCCGCGCGGTTTCACACGCTCTACTCAGCTCCTATTGGTCGTAGCGTAATGTTATAGAGCCTATACCCATCCTCGATAAATGCACTATGCAACACAAAAAGAATTATTCAAATCAGACTTGTAGTTACGGAGATTAGCGCGTTCAAACAAACAAACAAAAAAACAAACTCTTCCGCTTTATATAATAGTATAAGATACAAAAATCTCTGTAAAATTAGGGTTACTATTGTTTATTGGGCCAAGCCCGCCACAACCTCCCAAAACCGCTGCAACTCCTGTAAGCCAGGATCTACAGTAGATACAACCATGAAAACACCGGAACATTGAAGTCCGGCGCGTCCCAGGGACATGAGTAACTGTCTTGGTTCCCGCAACGAAATGAATCAGAAGATATTATAAGAGAAGAAGAAAAAACTATAGTTTTACACTATAGGTTTACTATTGTTAATTCCTTCTGCCTCATTAGTCAAGTAGCTGTAAGTGCAACTTCAGAGCATGATATCCAAAGTTGCATCTACGCTAGGAGAGCCGAGCACGAGCAGTGCACGAGCAGAACACAATATTCGTCTAGTGTGGACCGACTTACAAGTCTCGAAAAAGCGCGCTGCGAGCATTTCGTTCGTACTCTGCTGCGTTTGGCCTGTTGTCGGTTTTTTGATATTTACTACGCGCTCGGAGTGCTCACTGCATAAACGTACAAGACAACTACGTTCAAAGATAAGTGTGCATCAACACTTTAACCCCGCGAAATACGAAGCCGGTCGTGCTCGGTTCGTCTATCGTAGACCCGCCTTAAGATTTGATTGCCAAATACGGCAGTACCATTTATCGGTTTTTCGAAAATTCTCATTAATAACATGGGGGTGGAAGGGGGTCTGTCGTATTTTTGCTTACCAGATGGCGCTAGTAAGACCTCTCGTTTTTTTTCCAATAGGGGATTAGTGTTACGCCATTGGACGTGCAAAATTCGACAGTGTAATTGGACTAAGATACTTCTTCTTAGTGTCATCTAGTGAGCAAAGGCCAATAGTAGCGCCATCTGCACGGTAGCCCCCATTGTGACCCTTATATGGCAATAGGTTCAGACCCTATTACATACATTCACAACATAACTGGAAAATGGGTATTACATTAGCTTTGTACACCTCTGTCTACCCCTTTGAGGATTAAAAGACATATATATGTCTCCTAATGTAATTTCTGTTATAACTAGAAATGCGTACACACATTCTATATCTATACACAGCTATATTTATAACTAACAGATCTCTTATCTCTCACAAACAGCTATTGAACATTGGTTGCCTTTGTGCACACCTTATCTACACGACACTAGTTCATCTGTACAAGTCTATAGATAGTTCTATTGAGGAGAACTATTTTTTGTAATGCTAATTTTATTATGACTTAAGATTGAAAACATGATAAAGTTTTTCTTTAGAATTAAAATGTATGTTAAAAACTGGCAGGAAATGGTAGCTATTGGCATAAAGAAGGTTCATAGAGTATTAAGATATTAGTCATGGTTCAAATAATATCCCAATCTTCTTCTCTGTCGTTCCGCTCTTGGGAGAGCGGTCGTGGTCACGTTGTGGCGGTCGTATTTGTGTTGGTGGCCAATACAGCTATCCTCACGATCTCCCGCCATCTCTCTCTGTTTGTGGATTGTCTGGCGCAGTCTGACTCTGGGTTTCCCGTTGCCGATTTGACTTGATCAGTCCAGCGCATAGGTGATCTGCCTCGTGATCTGGTTCCCTCTACTTTCCCCTGAACGATCAGCCGCTCTATGGAGTTGTTATCACGACGGGAGACATGGCCAAAGTACTGCAGTATGCGCGTCTGAACTATGGTTGATAGACGCTTTGTGATGCCGAGTTCTCGGAGTATAGATACGTTGGTGCGTTGATCCCCTTTTCCAATTCACGTACTGTCCACGTCTCTGCCAATATCCCAATAAATATTAATAATACATTTAGTTTAGTCCTCTTACGCACGAATACTAAAAGACTACTCAATATTAAGTTGTACTCAAATATCGCCATCTCTGGCATTTACCTAACGGGTTACCGGGGCTCCGGCTCGACGTGCAGAAGAAGGAACGGGGTGGTTTTTAATCAGTAAGAGTCTGACACTCCCTCCCGCCTCACTCAGGCGGGAGCAGTCATTCAATGAATTTCCCCCCTTAAAAAAAAATCTCTGACAATCTTTTACAAAGAATTTATAGTGACAGAACACGACTTAAAATTGAGGGACGTATCTAAATACTCAATATTTATATATTAAACATATGACTAAGTAGTTTATTACTGAATTACTAACAGACAGATAGATATTTAAACTCAGTAGTTAGGTATTACCAGGAATTTTTATGTGAGTAACCACAAATCGACATTGTATTTATTTTGTTTGATGACACATTGTTTGAACTTTAGTTTTCAATTATAATAAATAAGTTACGAGTCTTGTAGGAATAGAGAGTTAGTTTAGCTTATTTCTATATATTACATAATTATATCTAAAACAAATAGAACTGAACTAACCGACTGCCGGGCAAGTGGTCTCGGGTTCGATTCCCGGGTCGGGCAACGTACTACTGGGTTTAAAAAAATAATCTCAGTCGTAGCACGGAGTCTGGAATTATGCCCGGTATATGGCAATAGGCTCACCCCCTATTACATGGGACTCATAACATTGTAGTGGCATAATGTGCACCTCTGCCTACGTGATGTTATGTTACTGATAGATTTAAGATAGGCCGAGCCGAGACCTTTGGCAGTCCATTTATATTATAACCAATCGAAGCATTTTTATAATAAAAACACTAAAATATTTTATTAGTTTATCACGGGTTTGAGATTATCGGATCGTTAAATCAGAAAGAAAGAAGAAAGAAAAATCATTTATTCGACAGTAGGCACGCACACAGATACAAAAAAATACAAAATTAAAAAAGAAAAGAACAAATAAATACACTTATTTATTCAGATATAGAAAAAAAATTAAGAAGAAAAAAGAAAGAAAAAAAATCAATGAAGATATTAACAAGAACATGCCTTTTAATCTCCGAACGGGTACTGAGGGGATGTACATGGGCTTAAGAATCGATTCCTAGACTTTTATCTGGCAAAATTCCTATTAACCCATGTCAATAACAAATTGCAGCACCTGTCTCTAAGTAAAAAAACGATAGCACCCAAAAATTTAACGATTGCATGTTAAATAATACCCACGTGTCTACTTATTTTATGTAAAGTTAAAAAGGAAATCGTACTGCAAGGTAATTTATTCGGTTCATTAACGAAAATGTTTAAAAATTACCGACTACTTATTCTCGACCTTGTGTGTTCGACTTAAGATATATTGTGACGTCAAGTACTGATTTTGTGTGTGACTTTGTCTCTAGAAATACTGTAAATAGTTATGTCATTTTCAATTGCCTCATTGCTGGGCAAGGGGTGTCGGGTCCGATTCCCGGGTCAGGCAAAGAATTACTGAGTTTTAAAAAAATCTCTACTACTGAGATTTTTTTGGCATGGCAGAATTGTGCCCAGTATATGGCAATAGGTTCACGCCCCGTTACATGGGACTCATAACATAAATAGTGAAAAGTGGGTGTTACATTGTACAGTGACATAATGTACACCTCTGGCTACCCCTTCGGGGATGTAAGACGTGATGTTATGTAATTTTCAATAATTTTGAGGATAAGGCTGCGTTCAAACGGGATCTAAACAGGTTTTTTAAGCTAAAGTAATATGAAGAATGAAGTCAACCTAATAATCACTCTACATACATCAGTACAGAGATCTTTCTGACAATTTATGAAGGTCATGTCGCTTTTATAATTTCAGAAATGGCGGGAACAAGGCGTGGAGTTCCTCCAGCTGGCCACGACAGACATATTCGAAGCTCCCGACCAGGACAAACTATACGAGGGAGTCACGTTTATTAATAGGTAACTCATACTTATACCGATACTCTTCTCAAGTGTGTTGTTGACCACATATAGGGCCCAGTAGGGCTAATGCCGAAGCCGCGGAGGAGTTAACGAGTTGCTGGGGCTCCGGCTCGAAGTGCACGAGTAGGAACGGGGTGGTTTTTAGTCAGTAAGAGTCTGACGTTCCCTCTCGTCTCACCCGGGCGGGAGAAGTCATTCGATGATTTTCCCCCCTTAACAGAAACCAACGTAGTACGCATTTAACAGGCACCAGCCAGATGCTTCAAACTGCGACTCCCAAGCCTTTATTTAGAAAGAAAGAAAATCATTTATTTTGCTACGACATACAACAAGAATTTAGAAACACAACAAAATGCCTATGATGCGCCTAAGCCTAAGCCATTTCGTCTGGTTTCCCTTTCATTCCGTGACCCTAGGCCTGGCTTACCATCACGGAATACGATCTTGATTTTCGATTGTCTATTAACTCGTCGAGTACCGGTTTTATAGACACAATTAAAGAACAATAGGTCGCGGTCACCGGTGACCGCTTGGTGTTTGACAGTTTAATCTTATCTTCGTTCAAGACCTAGTCGAAATAAATGCTTCACTTGTTGTCGACAGTTGAGTAGTTATTATTATAGGTATTTTTTCTAAAATTCTTATCACATTACCCATTTTTTGTTGAAATTTTACCCATTTTTAACCGACTTCTAACGTAAGCGAGGTTCTGAGTTTTACCTGTATGTATGTGTGTATGTTTGTGCTCGAATTTCTCGCGATTAGCTAAACCAATTTTGATGCGGTTTTCAAAAAAGTGTTGATACACTTAGGAGAAGGTTTTAGGATATACATACATATTAACCGACTTCATAAAGTTGAGTTGTAGTCGGTTTTTTTTAACATAGTTAATAAAAGAATTATTATTATAATTATTCGTGTTTATGGTACAGGTTTCTACCGGCGGACTGCAAGTTGTCGGGCGTGCCGACAGAGTGTGAGCAGGTGAACAGTGGCTCGGTGTACGTGCACTGCAAGGCGGGCCGCACGCGCAGTGCCACGCTCGTGGGCTGCTACCTTATGATGGTATGTTAACTATATATAATCATTTAATCGTATGTAGCACTGGTGGTACTATACATAATATGGGAGATTGCGAACCTAGAAACCGCTTTAACAAGTTTCAAAATTAGAATACACACATAAAGAAACAGGTTTCCGGTACAGACAAATCTGTACGGGTTGGTACCGATCGGTAAAGGTATTGCAGTAAATCATCTATTCATTCACTTATAAAGAAAGTTTTTTTGAAATATTATACCTGCGCCAATTTGTCTACATGCAAGGACCAATTTGTTTCTACAATTTGTCTTTATGTGAGCACCCTTATTTTGGAGTCTCTGTCTCTAACGCATGTACCAAATCAATAGATTAGAATCTTCGAAAACCTTCGCTTTCTAACCAACTGTAACCAAACTAATGTGAAAAAGTTATCTTTCTAACGAAACATCAATTTTTCCAGAAAAACGGCTGGTCGCCTGCAGAAGCAGTTAACTACATGCGAATACGAAGACCTCACATCCTACTGCACACGAAGCAATGGGAGGCTCTGGACATCTTCCACCGGAGACACGTCACCAGGACCTGATCACACTGCCTCAATTGCCTCTAACTAGTATAATTAGCCAACCACAGAGCTAAAATGAACCGTATTTGTAAGAAAATAAGGTACATAGTTCATCCTCCTTTTATTAATTAACAAGGTAAGAAGAATTTTGTATCTTATTGTTTTGTAATTACAGTTGTTTATGCGATATAAATCAGATATATTAAAGTACAACATAAAAAGTATTTGCGCAAATTATAACCTTTACATATTTGTATAGTACAAGGTTGCGCAAATATTATAAACGGTTGCGCAAAAGACTTGCGCAAAGTTTTGTTACAGCGCAAATACTAGAAACTTAGCTCAAGTCTTCCAAGCGTGTTGTTACTCTGTGGTGAGCCTGTGTATTCAAAATGGTAGTCATTTTGTATAATCATATAGCCAAGGTTACTAGTAATGTATTTCAAATGTATTTAGGTACTTAGATAAATGTTTTAATACAATTGTAAGTATAATTTACTTGCGAGTCGCTCGAATAGTGTCACAAGCCATCTTTGAAAATTACCTTAAAAATTTTAGACTGTTTTTAATGTTCTAGAAGAATTTACTCCTGATTTTAATGAATGAATTCCTCTTTCTGTCCCATTTTTTTAAAACAAACAACTATGTTTTTCGATTTTACACTATTTCAGCGGAGAAGTAATAATAAAAGACCTAATATTTAAATATAAAAGACATCCCAACAATCAAATGATATGTTCTATAGCTACATAAATAACAAATAAATTAATAATGCACATAACACGGAGATGGATACATTATCTATCCTCTGCTTTAATTAATGCAGAGTGAAAGAGATGACATTCTATTGAGATGATCTTAGGACGGTATTATCTCTTTCAATCTTGTTATTTTACCTACTGACAGGTACATAACGGTTTAAAAATACAATTTCAATCATAAAACAATATGTTAACTTATACTTATTTTATAAAAAAAAACGATCTTGTAATAATGGTGCGTTTATCTTCGTAAGTAATTTTCGTTTTGTAGCTCTTTTATCTAATGTTATATTACAATTCATCTATTATTTATTTATTTACAAAAAATATCTTCAAATTGATTTATCTATATCTGCGTAGCTTTACTAAGGCATACTGCTTTAAAAAAATATTATAGTCAGTGGCATCTGATGTCTTAAGTTGAACAAAAATATTACATATATAATAAATCCAAGATATGGTACCTATATATAATAACATATTACTCGTAAGAGGTAAGCTGTGTACTTTCCATTTCATCTAATATCTAAATTCTTGGTTTTTTCCCCATTTTCTCCACGAGGCTAAAAAGCCACTGTTCCAAACCAAATAAATAGAAGTACAGTAAAATATATTGTTAAAACGTTAACACATAAAGTTACCCCAATATTTTTATTAAATTTTCGGCTTTAGGATGCAGGAATAAAGTTCAAAATCGAATGAAAAATTTAGTTAATTGGGGTAGTTTTCCGTGCTAGCGTTAGTGCACAAAACTGTGTTATATTGAGCCTACAAAGTAGTTAATTTATTTTGTTATGAATACAATATTTTAATAATGAAATATTAAACGAATTATAATTTTATTTCACTTGTTTCATTGTCTTGTCTGCCCTTTCCACACGTCTCTTAAAAACAGTAACGCTTTAATACAAAATAAAATCGGAATTTGCCGACGTTTGTCCATAATTTCGCCTGGTGGTAAGCGATGATGCAGTCTACGATGGAGCACGCCGTCCCATAAGCAACCTATTTACTCGGGTCTTGAAGACACCCAGGTTACTCTTCAGAAAATATAGACTAACAGTGGTTCAATAATTATAAACTCGTAGAGGCAAATTTTCAAGACTATGGTATCTAGAAAATGTATAGCTTTTCTTACAACTCTTTAGTTGAAGTTATTGGACGTCCTGTATTTTCAACCGACTTCAAAAAAAGGAGGAGGTTCTCAATTCGACTGTTACACACCCACTGATAGGTTAGAAGTCGGTGCCGCAAACCCATAACAAAATATATCTTAGGTAATGGTCGCAGGTATACTTCACAATAAAATTGTAAACAGCTTAATAACGTTAGGTATCTATTAATGTTTTAATGAATAAATTTGTGTAAAATCTAGAGGCACCGACTTCTCACCTATCAGTGGGTGTGTAAGCTATATGTAAGTACGTATGACCAATAATAGTTATATTTTACTTTTTAGTTTTTACTTTTCGTTTGTTTTTGATGTCGGTTTTTTGTAGGTACGGATTCCTAAAACTAAATGCATCACATAATATGTATTTACGATTATCGAGCAAATAAATTGAAACAATAAAATATGTTATGGAACATATATACCTACCTATATATACTTATGTATTGTAGTGTTTTGATACAACTATAACTAACTCTAGTCATGATTTGTATCGTAAGTTTCTAGTTTTAATATTTGTTTTTGCCATTTTGTTATATAACATAATCTTGCATAACACTACGTTTAGTCACCCTGAAACTCCTGAAAAGCTTGACAGTGACTATAATTATCTATATTACAAGTAAAATACGTAAAAAACGACCTATATTTTAAGTTAAACGGTTTTAATTAGAAGCATCGTGGTGGTCCAGTAATTTAATTCTTCCAGCACAATAATTCTTTGCCCGGGGAATCGGACCGAGACCGATCACTCGGCCAATGAGACAATTAATTACCTACTAATTATATTATAGGTACGCTGCCACAACAATACGTTTCAGGCTTTAATAAACAGCGTCTTTACATTATTCATTACTGTTCTAATTATAAAAGTACTACTGGTAACCAGCATGAAAGTATTTGAGGAGTTGGACGCAAGCTACTACTGTGAAAACGCAAGGAAATTGTGCTCCGAGTCCATGGAGCGAGCACCCCATGTCGTATGCAAATACCACGTAAGTAAGTACCTAATTAAGTACCTGTTTTACTTTCTAAAAGGCAATATACATATGATTTTTTTAAGGGGGGGAAATACATCGAATGACTGCTCCTGCCTGGGTGAGGCGGGAGGGAGTGTCAGACTCTTACTGACTAAAAACCATCCCGTTCCTTCTCCTGCACGTCGAGCCGGAGCCCCGGTTACCCGTTAGGTTCTCCGCGACTCCGAATCGGCATCGGCCCTTCTGTGGTGGTCTGATGGCTCTGGGCGATGAGGAACGCGACGCGCCGTACGCTCGGATCTAATATACATATGCTAGGCTGTTCTGAAAGTTCAATTCCAAAGATCTAAGTGAACTTGAACGCGTTCCGCCATATCATTGGATGTATAATCTCGACTAATAATCCGAGAATAATGTCGACCAATGACGGCCGAGAATGCGATCACTTTAAGAGTTTGAATTAGGCACTGGCCAACTAGTCAAATTCAATACTTTTTTCGACCTGTAAGAACGACAGTTTTCTATGAGTTTTACGTACGAGATTGTGTATTGTGACGTCTCGTTTTAAGCTTCAAACAGCATACTTGTGTCTTAAAAATTTGCTGGAAAAATACTAAAATTAAGTTGGTCATAAAATCAATTAATGAAGGTATGATTTTTTTTTACCTATATGTTATTGTTATGAACAATTTATTTTGATTAAGGAAAATTCCCAATTCCAAAGAGTTGTGTAATCTCGACCAATGACGACCGAGAATGCGATCGAACTCTCGATAGTTTCAGAACAGTCTAGCTAGAAGACATTGGAGACGCCTTATGTTCAGTCGTAGACGTCTTGTATCTGATGATGATGACGAATAAGTACCTATCAGTTAGCACCACAGAACTACTATTAATATATCTATGATTAGCACTATTCTTCTTCTCCTGTATTGACTCCACACTTTTTATTTTTATGGGGACGAGCGGACGGATCACATGATGGTAAGCAATCGGTGCCGCGTATGGACACCCGATACACCAAATCCGTTACAAGTGCGTTACCGCCAGTTGCCGCCCTTTTGGGGATTAGGAATTTGAGGATTGCTGGAGGTTAGCGAGGGAGGTAATTGGGCCTCCGGTAACCAACAGCGCAGTAGCTAGGTTCACAGCGTGCCTTAGTTAAACGTGTTGGTTCTGTTTCTTTTCAAAACCCTGTCTTAATAAACATTCTTTTTACCAGAACCACAAGGGCGACTGCCGTCTTTACAAATATTACGATATAAGTGAGAGCATGGCTAATGAAATAGTATCTCGGATTAATAAGTAAGTACCTTTTTTTTGTTGACTGGGGAAACTTTCAAAAAGGGGCTTAGCTTTTTGGGTAAAATAGACTAGGTCTGTGTGGGTTTTTTACCCCACTAAAACCTTCCTGGTGACTCCTCTTAGTAGACCAACCCCGAAGAATAAGGAACCTTTTTTTAAAAAATTACAAATTAAACGTGACATAGTGCGGCGTAGTCTATTCTGTGGAGCCATTGCCCCGTATAGGTGCTGACCATCAGGTGGATTTACTGAGGTAAGACTCTCATGCTTCCTAGTCTTTCTTGCCAGAAGGTGAGTGTCTTTTGCTGGTTTAAGTGACCTGACGGGAGTTGTCACTAAAAAAGACTGCAGGGTTGGTGCGGTGGCTGGGCAACCGGCTGCCGTGGAACGTGTCGCGGGTTCGATTCCCGCACGGGACAACACTTTGTGTGATCCACAAATTGTTGTTTCGGGTCTGGGTGTCATTGTGTATGTGAACTTGTATGTTTATAAACGCACCCACGACACAGGAGAAAATCCAAGTGTGGGGCAACGTTTTTCAAAAAAAAAAATGGTAACCTACCTCATCAGGTGTCAGAGGCCTTACTACGAGTTTGATTTAGATAGGTTCAAAGTATTGGACAAACAACAACACGGACTCGTTTCGATAATTTGATTACTTTTAACGTAAAACAAACTCTTTACTAAACTAAGCCCTCAAGTATTTTACAGAGTGAGAAGTGAAGTAGCTAACGGGAAAGCTGAAGGTGAGGACGGATTCCTTCCTAAAGGATACGGGATGATGAGAGTTGTAAGTAAGAAAATTAAATTTATTTCCAAAATGAAATCTGTCTTTAATCCTTTATATCCTCGATAACCAAGTTAAAAAAGGCAAATTAAGTAAAAACGCGGGTTACTCACGTGAATATACCTACAAAAGCTCTACTAGTTTCGAACCTGAGCGAGCTGCGCGACGTCGCCGCGACCGCGCACGCTGCTCATGAGGAAGAACCCCCTCTGTGGTTCGAAACTAGTAGAGCTTTTCTCAGTATATTCACGTGAGTAACCCGCGTTTTTACTTAATTTAGTATGTCTCACGATAGTTATTTTAAAAAATGCAGTTCATGTCTTTCGTAATTTATTTGTTAGTAAACGTGTTCTATAGTTTTGTGGCCCGAATCTTAGAAGCAGAATTCTCCAGATCTGCTAAGCTATTCTGTTAACTACCAATTTGAACTTTCGAATTGAGCACATTCTCGCTTGTCATTGATCGAGATTATTTTCATTACGAATGACACGACGGCCCGCGATCGAATTCAATTTTATCTCTCGAATTGAAAGTTACAGATCAACCTAGCTGGACGCACTAGACTAACTCTTATGTACATCCTAGGTATACTTTTCCTTTCTTTCTGGGTATCCTTGCAGTCATGGGACAGCGAGCTGGCAGCTATAGCGAAGCTGGTGATTTCTATGTGTCACTCACAAACCGACTACACCTGCGCGGCTACTTGTAAGTCTTCATGTCTATCAGCTCGTATGATGTTCTTAGTATGTGTTTTTAGGACTGCCTCGTTAGCCGAGTGGTCGCAAGTGCGACTGCCGGGCAAGGGGTCTCGGGTTCGATACCCGGGTCGGGCAAAGTATTACTGGGTTTTTAAAAATCTCACTAGTAGCACGAAGTCTGGAAATGTGCCCGGTATATGGCAATAGGCTCACCCCCTATTACATGGGACTCATAACATAAATAATGAAAAGTGGGTGTTACATTGTACAGTGGCATTAAGTGCCGAAATGTGCACCTCTGCCTACCCCTTCGGGGATAAAAAGGCGTGATGTTATGTTATGTTTCTTAGGTTATGGTGTTTGATGTACCAATGCCAGCAAATTAGAAAGGTCTATGTCCTACGTAAGACGGTATTATGACTGATGATGATGATGATGATGATGATACCGAAGAGGTAGGTATTCAGTTTTATAATTGCATAAGATTTATTTACTTTATTTACTAGATATCGAAGGACCCCATTTGACCCCTAAAACGGGGGCTTAAGTCATCGAAAAAAAAACAGAAACAGTCCCAAAACCCCTTTAATAATTAAAAAAGAAAACTCAACAAATTAATAAAAAATGTATCAATCTTAGCAAAATTCCACAACCCTGTAATGGCATATTCATCCAGCATGAACGTGGACTCCATGGAAGAGGCGGTGGATGATATTTTGAGGAACTTTGAGGAATATAGAGTTACGACCGATGATGTCTTCGTTGGACCAAATGTAAAAGATGAGTAAGTTCAAAAAAGTAACAGTCCACCTCTGTTTGAACGAATAAAACTTACACTATTCTTCTTCCAGTTCGTATACAAAGTTACCTCCTTAGGTTCGACGCAATATGTCTACTTCTATCATAGAGGATAGCAGCAGAAGATATATTGCGTAATTCGTCCATTAAGTAATCAATCTCTTCTCTTTAGTGGCGTAACTACATGGTGGAGAGTCGGCAGAATGCCGCGGGCCCCCAACAAGAAGGGGCCCCGTTGAGAGGTTTTCATCTGAACTTCTCTGTTTTTATTGTGAACGATAGATAGGTCCATCTGATAAATTTGCCACGGACCCCAAAGGGTACAGTTACGCCTCTGCTCCTCTTCCATGTCAGTTTTCACACATTCCACCCATATCTTTCTTAGATCATCCTCTACCTTCTTACTCAGCCCAGAAATAATTGAAAAATTTTCAGAGACCAAAAGCTGCGCTACCTGAGACTAGTAGTGGGAGACTTGACACACGTTGGATGTGCACTAGCTGTGTATCAATCTTTTCAAGATGAAGTAAGTGGCCTTTTGATAATTTTGAGGGTGGAGGAATTATTCAATGACTTCTTCCGCCTTGGGTGAGGCGAGAGGGAGTCTCATACTCTTACATACTGAATAAAAACCGCCCGTTTCCTCTTCCTACCCATGTTTCAAGCCAGTGCCCGGTAAACCGCAATTAGGTTGTCCGTTCCTCTTACCCTAACACTTTATTAATTCAGAAAGAACTCATGACTTATCTGTAGGTCTGATTGCCAATAGAAAACTGTGAAAAGCAAATCCTCTGCGAACGTTGGTGACCAGTGACCCCCATTGCGTTTAACGTCTTATCCAACATTCCAGATGACTCACTTAAAGTGTTACTTGTCACACTCGCCGGTCCAGAACATGCCAGTATACAACACCGACCAGCCGCGACCTGAAGACAGGGCGTCTCCAAGGTGCGGCTGTCCCTTAGGGTACAGGGAGGATGAAGACTGTCTCTGTGTACCCAAACTTAAGAATGCCAGTAAGAAATAACTGTTTTTTATTTTACTACTATGTACTATACTGACTAAAGTAGGTAGGTACCTACTTTTACTTTGGTATAGCAGTGGGTGTTCTTCAAGTATGAAGAACAGGTTTTTTCAGAGAAAAATGGAGTTTGGATACTGCATAGGTATGTAGAGTTGAACATTATGAAATGCAATCGATTTACTTTTTATCGCATAAGTCCCATGAAATAAATAGGAAGTGAGCCACGTGACAAAGCGCTGCGCAGCATTACAAACTCCGTGTCGCTTCTGAGAATTCATAAAAAACTAAAACTACCATTAAGTAATATTTATTTAACCCAAACCGAGAATCAAACGTGAAAAGGGGTTTTTGTCAGAAATTCCCTGTGTCGATAATGTGTTTGTAATCGACACCTCTTTTAATTCTTTATAAAACAATATTGAGGACGTAAAAACTAAAAATCTATTTTTTTTCAGTACCAAGTCCATTCCCAACATCTAACGAATACCAGCCTCAACAGCAATCGTTCAATGTGCTCAAACCGATACAACAAACAGTACAGAAGCTATCGCTACCGCTCCCGCAGCCCGATACAATGTGGCCTTCACCACCGTCCGCTAATGGGACCAACGTCACCTGCAAGCCCAGGATCGTAATGATGCCCATATTCACGTTGCAGAACGCTCCAAGACCGAAGAAGAATAAAATCAGACGGAGGTAAGTTTGTAAAGAAATTACTAGAAATAATGTGATGTAGCATACCTAACCGTGGAAGCCCTAACGGACCTAAAGGCCTCTATGGAGCCGCGGAAGGCCTTTTTTTTGAGGGGGGAAAATCATCGAATGACTGCTCCCGCCTGGGTGAGGCGGATGGGAGTGACTGAGAGAGTCGAGCCGGAGCCCCGGTTACCCGTTAGGTTCTCCGCGACAACGAGTTGCCGGCGCTCCGGTTCGAAGAGCAGGAGAAGGAACGAGGTGGTTTTTAGTCAGTAAGTCTGACACTCTCTCTCGCTTAACCCAAGGCTGGAGAAGTTATTGAATGATTTTCCTCTTAAATAAGTTAAGACTTTTTTGAGGGGGTAAAAAGGGCTATTTTTAGTCCTCCGCGGGCCTAACAACCAGTTCTGTTATGTTCTCTATTTGATTGGCTTACAAAGGCATACTCAAAACTCAGCTACCTACTACTTTGTAGACCCAGGAATCGACGCCGAAAGTCCTTGGTCTTGTAATCACTTTTTTGACACTTGCGCAATGAAATAAGAATTACTAAATACCTCTATACGTACCAAATGTAATGTTTAAATTAAAAAAATACTTGAGGAAGAACCCTTCTGTGATTCGAAACCAGTGGAGCTTTTCTCAGTACTTTCAGCTAATTTTTAGGTAATTTAGTAGGTATCTCACACGATAGTTATTATAAAAAATTTAATGTCCATCTAGATCAACAGCGTTTCTGCTGTATGCCGTGTAGAGCCCTAAATATATTCATAACAAATTACTTCCAGATCGCTGGACAATAATGCAGAGAGTGCTGTCACAATGGACGACTTCTATTTCGCCGACGAGGTGAGTAGGCCTTAAGTAACTAAAATGAGTTTGACGTCCAAAAGTGCCTTTGACTGGTCTAATTGGTATACATGATTTAGACAAGAGTTAACAGAACACTAGTCCAATAATTCTTCTTTTCACTTCTCCATTCATCTACCCATCTTCTTTTTGCCTAGTTTCCTTCCAATATTCTACTTTTTATCAAGATTTCACTCAATTTCAGCCAACTTCACCACCCAACCTCACAATCAGATCACAACTGCTGTACCATTTGAAGAAAAATAGAGAAAAAGCAGGTATTCAGTTCTACAGCTCAGGAGAAAAACGTTCACAGACACATGATCGGAACTGGAAGAAGATAGTACGCCTCCTAGATATGTTGGAGTTGAAGGGAAAGTCTGCCCATTTGACGAGTCGTGAGGTGATGGAAGTCGGGACTAAGATTAAAGAAATACATGACCAAGTGCTAGGGACAACTGCATATGATGTGCCTGAAGTTGACTTTTAATGGTCGAGAGTTAGGTATTATAGTCTTCTGTGTGAACCCTTCGTGTGCTCGATTTCTAGTCATAGATACTTAATTATTATATTCGAGAAAAAGATGGAAGAATGCTGCAGGAAAATAAATTGTCGTGTGTAACTTAATGCATGGGCCTCCCGTTGAATGTCATTTGTTTTGTTATTAAATGTTAGTTATGGTCTACAGCTTATTGTTACCCAGTTTATTTCATACACCATTGTTTTTAGGGGAGAAATCATCGCATGCCTTCTCCCGCCTGGGTGAGGCGGGAGGGAGTGTTAGACTCTTACTGACTAAAAACCACCCCGTTCCTACTCCTGCACTTTGAGCCGGAGCCCTGGTGATATTTTACGTTCTCCACGGCTGCGTATCGGCATCAGCCCTATTGGGCCCCATCCGTGGTGATCTGATGGCTCTTTGAGGCTCGCGCGGATCGCGACGCGTTGTACGCTTGGGTCTGGTTCTGGCCGGGCGGCTCCCATGCTCGCTGTCTGCTGGCCCGTGCATTTCATACACCATATGTTATATGTTCTATCAGTTACTCTATGAACAGTGTGAACCTTCATTCGGAAGGCAAATATCACTTATCAGTGATTGTCTCGTGTGTGTAATAATAATAAAACAATATAATTTCCAACTATCATTTATTCTAATAATAAATCACACCGCACATTTACAATTTAGAACAAATGATTAAATGGTAATAATAAAAATAAATAATAACTCGATAAACGACGAAATTTCATGATCTTGTGCTTTTAAGTACCTAATACGGGTCATGGGGGTTTTATAGAAACCAGGAATAATAACTTTAAAAACTTAAGTTTAATATAAGACATCACAATTGTACCCGTAATTAGATTACGAGCACCTTGTAACTTGTAAATCATTTTACGTCAGTAAAAGACAAAACAATTACCTTGAGCATAACTCAAAATAAGAAACAAATGAAATGAAATGTCCTCGTTTTTATAACATCCCCACAACAAATGCATTTTCGCACCGCTCTGCAGTCAGATTCTCTGCAAATTGAGAATTAATTTGGACCATACACTTCTTCATTCATGTAATCCTAAGTTACATTTTCAAATTCAAATGAATGACCAATTGTATTCAAATGCAGAGTTTATATTTCTGCAGAGTGGCTATAACTCAGTGATCCACAGCATTGCCAGGAATAGTAATCGAGCATCCCCCTCGAGCAGTCGAGCCACAGACCTCGACCTTCTCAATCTACAATTAAGCGGTCAGCTGTCACATTGAAACAGTAACAATAACCTAATTACTAATATATCAACAACGTTACTTATTAAAGTTAGCTTTGTGGATATCAAAATCTTAGGTTAAAGTTAGAGCTAAAGGCTTCAGCTAATCCTAATACTATTTAAATAGTTATTTCACCGCATTTATGATTTTTGACGGTCAGATTTGATGGCCCAGATTTGTTTGATGGTGTTCGCGAGGCCATCATCGTGGCCGATGATGTAGAAGAGGCCACCAAGCATTGCTATGGAGATGAGGTATACGAGCCCGAGGGCAATTTTGGGAAGGATGGGACCAACAACACTGGCGCGAACGTAGTCTATAGCGATCGCTTCCAGACCCCTGTAAGAGAAATTCGAAAATTTAGCGTAAAGAGATGATACTTGGCAATAAATAGAATGGATTAATATGATTTAAGTATAGTTCATAAGAGCGCAAATGGCTTGCCTCGTCAATCACATTAAGTTTAAAGATCACATGCGTAAACTCAGTTCCAGTAGATAGCATTACCGACTTACGAAGCTTTTTATTAAATTTGAATTTATACATTCGTTAGGTGTGCAGAAATACCTTTGGTAGGATTTGTAGGATCAGGAGGAAGCTGGCCAAACATTATCGGTAGTAGATACTACTGAAAAAAGTCACGACATCCTACGCCCCGTACATCGATCACCTAGTGAGGCTAGAGGTGGGCGATACTTAACCTTACGTTACGAGAAGTTCATTATTAGATAGGAGCTAATGATCACTCAATCTGTCTAGAGATATCAGTGATGATTCATCAATTATTGGCCGTATCATGTTTGTAATGCGCGCTAGACAGAGATGTTGTTTTACGGCATTTCTTGATGTTTATAAAGTTAATTATTACGTTTTCGGCTTCTTACATAAATTTTTGATGAGGAACTCGACTAGTTTCAAGCCACGCGGCTCATATTCTTAACAGTATTTCGCGACTTGCGACGCGGCGACTGTCGACTGCGTCTGACAAGCATGGCTTGAAACTAGTCGAGTTCCTCGTCAAACAGTTACGTGTGTAAGCCGAAAACATAATAATTCATTTAGTATATCTCAGCAAAGTTTTAATATACACGTGTTTATAAAGGGCATTTTCCGCCACTCTTTTTAAACGTACGTATGGCTTATCTGGCAGCATAATAAATAACATCGCATAGTAGCAAACATATAACTTAGATATCATTGCAACATTTTGTAAGTCTGGTAAACACTTGAGGAGCTACTCAACCGCCTGTCGGTCGGTTAAGAGTTATAGACCTATCAATCACTTTACTAACCGCTATATCTTGCTAACGCCTACGTAAAGTATCTACAACCGACAAAACAATTAACCTTCATCTAACACTTCCTCCTCCTCTTCTTGACGACCTTGGGCTTTTTCATGTTCCTCCAAATCCTCCAGAAGGCTCTGCAGAGGCCGATATCATTGAAGATCAAGTAGAACAGCCCTCCAAGCATTGTCACCGATGTTAAATATACCAGTCCCATTGCTACTTTTGGTATTAAGGCACCAAATAGGAGCACTCTCACGTATTCCACAACCATAGCTTCGAGACCCCTGGGGATTGGGAAAGATTGGCAGGATGGAGAAAGGATAGAGCTTCAATACTTTAATGTTGGATGACAATCTTGGATTATATTTTGTACTAGCTACTTCCGCGAGGTTTCACTCACTCTGCTCAGCGCTTATTAATCGTAGCGTGATATTTTATAGCCTATAGCCTTCCTGGATAAATGGGTTATTCAGCACAGAAAGAATTTCTCAAATCGGACCAGTAGTTTCGGAGATTAGCGCGTTCAAACAAAAAAACAAACTCTTCAGCTTTATAATATTAGTTTAGATAATGGCGAAAGGAAAAATGAGGCTACTTGTCCTTCAAAACATGTTCGGCAACACGCGAAAAACAGATTTTAAGCAATCTGATCAAAACTGATCTTAAGGAATTTGGAAAAGGCTTTAGAGGATTGGGAATAAAAATGGAGTTTCACAGCCAAAATTAATAAGCTATCTTAATTCAAAATCTGCATACATGGATTGATTTTTGACATCAGTTGTATGGAGATTCGGTCATAAAACGATTGAATCATAGACTTTGCATTCAGATAATTATGTTATTAACTTCCGTGTCGAATAATGTTTTCACTTACCAAAATGAATGTGCACAAATGAGGATAGCGATGACTGAATCAAAGAGTTTGTTTGGGATCAACAAGCCCAAAGGAAGTAGAGGTACCATGAGTGCAGCCACTGATTTCTCTATCACCCACAGTTTCGAGTGATCATGGGGCTTCTCGTCCGAAAGCCTTACAGGCGACGTACGGAATGATCGTACCTGAAATAATTTATATTGTTTTTAATTATGCAGCATTAGTTACTTCCGCGCTGTTTAACCCGCTCTGCGCCAGCCCCTATTGATCGTAGCTTGATGTTTATAGACATGTATATTGTATATAGCCTTCAGCCCAGTATTTCCCGAGATAAGCATGTTCAAACAAACAAACAAGCAAATTCTTCAACTTTATATATAAAATTAAAAGTAATAAATTGATAATAGTATAAGATACATTTTGAAGAAATGTTTGCCAAAAAAGAGGACCTAATCTTGCACCCTGTGGTACACCAAAATTAAAGTGTTTTTATTAAACTTATGAATGATTGTTGTCTGTTAAAGTTTAAACGATTTTCAGATTAAATTACTTCAGTTCAAAATATTGTATCAGACAAGAAAATAAATTACAAAAAGTCAATTATCTACCAGTTCAATTGATCAGCAACTGTATAAAGCTTGTCTTTGATGCAACAAATCAATTAACTTACAGAGTTAGTAATGGGAGTGTGGGTGGCTTCCTTGAATGCATGTTGGCTGATGGGCACCATACTAGGCACCATACGGGGTACCATACTGGCTAGGGGTCGCTGCATGCAACTCAGTGACCCATACTTCAAAACATGTTGAGTAAAAACACGGCCGGCCAATACTGTGAAAATATATAAGAAATTAATCATAATAAAAACATTTTACCGTTTTAAAAAATACTCTACCTATTTAACTGTTATTATTATTGTTTAGAACTACAAGGAAAATCTATTGCTTATATATTTTTAATTAAATGATTGCCAGTATCATGACACCAGTTAATCAAGCACAGTATTTTTTACATAACATAACATAACATAACATCACGCCTTTTATCCCCGAAGGGGTAGGCAGAGGTGCACATTATACCACTGTACAATATAACACCCACTTTTCACTATTTGTTATGAGTCCCATGTAATAGGGGGTGAGCCTATTGCCATATACTGGGCACAATTCTAGACTCCGTGCTACTACTGAGAATATTTAAAAACCCAGTAATACTTTGCCCGACCCGGGAATCGAACCCGAGACCCCTTGCCCGGCAGTCGCACTCACAACCACTCGGCCAACGAGACAGTATTTTTTCTTTTGGAAAAAATGTTGCCTCACTCTAGGATTTTCTCCTGTATCATGGGTTTGTTTACAAACATACAAGTTCATTCATTCATTCAGATGTTTTGTCTATATTTTCCTATATACCTATCTATTACATGAAGGTGTAGGTATGTCGCATACATACTACATCATCCATATTGTATATATTTTGTGTCTTTAAAAACAATTGCATTATTTCAATACCAGAACAATGCTCTACACATCCTCCGTGAAATTATTGTTATTTTAATATAAACTTTTTAGTCTGCTGACTTAAGTAAAGCTGATATTGAGACCTGTCTCAGATTCCAGGGAAAAGGAAGCCATAATACGAAATCTGAAATGATTAAAAATCTAAATCTGATCTGATATTGATCTCATCTTTAACATTCTAATAGGAATATACCGGTAACTATAATAGGTCCAGTAGTTATAGTGACCATAAAACCAGATAAAATTAACTATTTATTATTGTTGATAAATAGTCAAATTTGTCATGTTCAAAAAACCACAAGATAACCACAAGTAAATTTACAGATTTAAAGCATATAATAAATTGCATTTAATGTGAAACGTTGAGCTAAAAAGGAGTAAAACCTCTTGACAACAGATTGCTATTATGTAATAACAAAACAATAATCATTTCACGTGATTTCTTACCTGGCGTACGAAGCAAGGTGGAAAGGGCCATATTTTTATTTGTTTACTGTATTAACCCCCTAAAAGAATATTTACTTTAATATTTTAGCACTGCATCAAGAAACGAAATTTCGCGTATACGTCAAAAATACATCTACATCACACTTCCAAAATCAAAATTTTTTGACATTGACATGACAGCCTACGTCATGGTGAAATCAAAGATTGTGAAAAAGATTATGCTCTAAAGACTGCTATAGAATGTCCAACGAGTGAGATATGCAGGACAGTGAACAGTCATCATTTCACCTTTTTGAACACTGAAGTTAGTTTTTTTTTAAGATAATCTTGAAATTGATCTACAATAAGTGCGTAATTATTAATTTAATTTTGATTGTTCATTGAAATAAAGTAAGAAAAACTCAAAAATCTATAATTTTCTTTTTTACCAAGTGATAACATTTTCAGGTTATTTTGTTACTGTCATCCCTGAAACCGGAATGACAATTCATTTTGGTGACTCCAAGATTTTTTGAACAATTTGTTTTGCATCATTTCTCCCACAACATAACTCGTTTAGATAATATTAATTCTGGAAATGGCTACTACATTAGAAGATAAATCAATTTGGGAAGATGGTGAGGAAGCGCTGAGTGAGGAAGTTCTCCGGATGCCCACAGACGAGATCATCAGCCGAACAAGACTGCTAGACAATGAGATTAAAATAATGAAGAGTGAAGTTATGAGGATTTCTCATGAGCTGCAGGCACAAAACGACAAGATAAAGGAGAACACGGAGAAAATCAAAGTGAACAAAACATTACCTTACCTGGTATCGAATGTGATTGAATTATTGGATGTAGATCCTCAGGAAGAGGAGGAGGATGGAGCTGTGGTGGACCTGGACTCGCAGCGCAAGGGAAAGTGCGCAGTCATCAAGACCTCAACTCGCCAGACATATTTCTTACCAGTCATCGGGTTAGTTGATGCTGAGAAACTGAAGCCAGGTGACCTAGTTGGTGTGAACAAGGATTCCTATCTGATCTTGGAGACTTTGCCCGCTGAATACGACGCCAGAGTGAAGGCCATGGAGGTGGACGAGAGACCTACTGAACAGTACTCTGATATTGGTGGATTGGACAAACAAATTCAGGTTAGTTTTGTTTATAATGCTTAATCATCTAACATTGATGATAAATACATACATATAAGAAATCAAGATTACATTATTCTGTGTTTAGACTCCATAAAGTTAAGGACATTGTAGTGGTTAAATTATTTTTAAGTATCAACAAAAGAATGGAATGTTTGAAAAATAAGCTGCATAGTTTGTGTATTTATGAATAGTTCTATTGAGGTCACTTGTTGAAGAAACTACCGACCCGCCCCGACTTTGCATGGGTGCAACATATTATACATATAAACCTTCCTTAAGAATCATTCTATCTATTTAAAAAAACTGCATCAAAATCAGTTGCATAGTTTTAAATATCTAAGCATACATAGCGACAGACAGACGGTGGATAGCAACTTTGTTTTATACTATGTAGTGATATATTTTTAAATGAACAAAAGCTAAGGTAATGATGAACCAGGATGAACTTGACGCCTATGAAAAGGATTAGCCACAGAAAGCTTTAAGAAGAGACAAGTGGAAAGAGGGTATTGAGGCCTTTGCCCTGCAGTAGGACAACCGTGGCTAAAAATAAAATGAATAAATAAAAGCTAAGGTCCTATTGTTTTGGTTATATCTCTAAACACATAATCAATGATATCTGTTTATTTCTGTTTCCAGGAACTGATTGAAGCTGTAGTCCTACCAATGACACACAAGGAGAAGTTTGTGAACCTGGGCATCCATCCGCCCAAGGGTGTGCTGCTGTACGGCCCCCCTGGTACAGGCAAGACTTTGCTGGCAAGAGCTTGTGCTGCACAAACTAAGTCCACCTTCCTTAAACTGGCTGGACCACAACTTGTACAAATGTTTATTGGTAAATATTAAAGCATTTAGTTTTAAATCCATAATTAACTCTACACACTTAAATTTTTGTACCTTAGTTTCAAAAGTATTGTATATCTATATATTTTCCTATTAAATGTTACTGGACATGTCCTATGCTAATACAACCTTACACTACCCAAGAACTTGACTGCCTCATTGGCCGAGTGGTCTCAAGTGCGACTGCTGGGCAAGGGGTCTTGGGTTCGATTCCCAGGTTGAGCAAAGTATTACTAGGTTTTTAATAAAAATCTCAGTAGGATGGAATTGTGTTACATGGGACTCATAACATAAATAGTGAAAAGTGGGTGTTACATTGTACAGTGACATTTATTGCCGTAATGCGCACTTCTGCCTATCCCTTCAGGGATAGGCAGATGACTGGCATAGGCATAGGGATAGGCATGTGATGATGATAATGACTACCCAAGACAAAACATACAGATGAAAAGATAAAGAGGATACAAGAACTGCTAATTCCAGAGTTTACTGTCATAATACATGTTTACAGGTGATGGTGCCAAACTGGTCCGAGATGCTTTCGCCCTAGCTAAGGAAAAGGCACCAGCCATTATTTTCATTGATGAGTTGGATGCTATTGGTACTAAGCGTTTCGACTCTGAGAAGGCTGGTGACCGTGAGGTGCAGCGTACCATGTTGGAGCTACTTAACCAGTTGGATGGATTCAGTTCCACTGCTGATATCAAGGTATTATCATCTTCTTGCATTACTGAATATAGGCCTTTGTTAAGTTACACCCAACTGTTTGTCACTATGCCATGCCACTAGGTTCAGAACTAAGTAAAATTGGCTTTGTTGCCGCCATGTGTTGTTAGAATTGGGATGATGACAGGGTATGAATATTAAAAATCTAATTAGTTCATAAGTTAATCAAAGTTCTAGAAAAGAAATCAAAAAATCAAGTTTAGGGGTGTATGCCAAAACGTCATTTCTATGTATAAAATGTACATAGAAGTGACGTCACGCGACATTTCAAATCAATATATCTTTGAAAGTATTTGTTTCTGTAAGAAAATAAGAAATACATGTTTAATGATTTAAAATAATCTACCAGACGGACATTAAAATAAAAATTAGGCTTCTACCCTATTGCTAAAATAACACATTCAGCAAATGGAACTGGCTTTAATATGAATAATTTTTACTTTTGCTTATAGGTCATAGCAGCTACCAACAGAGTAGATATCCTAGATCCTGCCCTGCTTAGGTCTGGACGTCTGGACAGGAAGATTGAGTTCCCACACCCCAATGAAGAAGCAAGAGCGCGTATTATGCAGATCCATTCTAGGTAATGAACATCACTAAAATATTTTTCCCTTTAGGGTTCTGAATGTTGGACATACTGTTGTAATTTAAAAACGAAACTAGTAGAATAATTCATAGTAAGTATTTGAACCTAACTATAAGTTGTGCCAACTGGTGAAATACGCAAAATACTATAACTTTACAACATCTACAACCTTTCTATGAAATTCTGTAAAACCTAAACTTTGATGCAATCTTGTGATAATTTATTTAATTCTATTTTTCTTTTTTTTTTCAACAGAAAAATGAATGTTTGCCCTGACGTAAACTTCGAGGAACTGTCCCGTTCCACGGACGACTTCAACGGCGCTCAATGTAAGGCAGTGTGCGTGGAAGCCGGTATGATTGCCCTACGTCGCTCCGCCACCGCCGTCACACACGAAGACTTCATGGACGCCATCTTGGAAGTCCAGGCCAAGAAGAAGGCCAACCTCAGCTACTATGCTTAAATGTCTACTAATTGCGTATTAATTATAAGTCTATTGTATAATAAAATTTAGAAAAATTAAATTGGTTTTCTATTTTACGTTAAAACGTAATTTTTGTGTTCTTATCCAAGTCGAGATACATATAGTCCCTACCTTTACACATCTAATACAAAGATTTCGCACAATACTCATGAAACTAGTAGTACCCCATAGTACCCTCTGCTTCATTGTGTTCCAATAAACTAAGAAGACTATAGGCTAGCTAGAAGTTTATTTCACTACAGTATTTATCGACAATTATGAAGGTTTAGTTCCTCATAATAAATATATTTTCAAGACTAAAGAACTAGGCCAATGTACATGTCATGTCGTACGTATACTGTTATGATATTAATTAGTGCAATGCATTGGAAGTCCTAAATTATACAATAAGTTTGCACATGTGCACTTCTCGGTAGGAGAGAAATAGACCTAAATATAAACTGCATTGTTTTAGTGGTTTTACTAATTCTTGACCAAAACCACCGCAGTGGCAGTGATTATAACAACTCAAAATAAAATATACTGTGCATGTTACTTTCAATAATTATTTATTACTCATCGAATAATGAAAAATTAACTTACTTTTTTATAATTATATATTTATTTGTTTTTCAGTAAAAGTTAACTTTAAAATAATACACGTAAAAATGCGAACGCAGCCTTAAAAATTGGCAACGCGCGTGCGTGTGCCGAATTTGAAACATAAAAATAAGTCAATCAAAATTTTTGTAGTTTTTTGGTTATTCATAGTTTTTATATAATTTAAAATATCAAAAAAATATCAAGACATAGAAATGTGAAATTATTAGTGTTGATTGTTCAAACTTCGTTAGTAAATAACATCGGCGAAGAGATACGGGCCTAAGTCGTGAGTATAAATATAACCTATGCTTGAAAAAATGTAATTTACTTTAAATATTATTGGTAAAATACTGTAAAATGTACTTTGTGAATGATAAATGCCGGCGTTGTTGATTTGTGGATGTTTTCCGATTTGCGGTGTGTATGCTTAGAGCTTAAATTATGATTAGTTTGGTGATACTTCTATCTGCATTAGTACCTATATAATTGCCCACTTCTGCAGTAAACTAACGATTAGATCTATGCGCCAAATTACTACGAACTAACGAAACAATATGTGTTAAGTTTTTGTCGTATACAAGTGGCTAATTTAATTATAACAGCATGCTATTGTTAAAAAGTGTATATAAGCTAAATAACTGGAATAAAATTGTGCTGAAAATATTACAATGAAGATGATACATTTGGTATCATTTTACATTTGCTATAAGATATGAATTGCAGTTTTATATGTGGCATCATACTCAGACAAACCTAAATACATATACCTACTTAATAAATTATGAAATAATTAAAACTAAAGAAAAATCTATTTCAATTAATTTTTTAAAGAGTACCTACTTGATTAAAATTCTAATAAAATTACAATTGGTATGGTATAACTACTTACAATAGAATAAGAACTAGATAATTTATATTTGTTAAAAATTCTATAAAACAATTTAAAAAATATCAGATTGAAGTTCTAGGTATATTATTAAGTATATCTATGTAAACATATTATATTTATTTTTGTGCGACAAGAGCCATGGATCCGGAAGATGAGGGTGAGCTTAGCTTTAACAAAGTGCCTCTGGGCGACATACCCAAAGTACACTCCGTACCCAACCACCGTCCACACACCAGGTTCCAAGTTACTATATGTATTAATATTTCTATGACACTATAACATTTTTTTTTTCTACTCAAACAAATCTAATCTTTTTTTTAAGTTAAATGACTGAATGAGACTGCTTCTAACTGGTTTTACTTGTAATTTCTGGTTTAAAATATTTATTAATGCTATTTTAATAGATTTTGATTTAATCTGGTTGAAAGCAGTTTTATACATGTGCAAAAAGTATATTATTATATTATGTTTTACTTATAATTTTTGTGTAACCTCACATTCCTTCATTATTTTTTATCTTTTTTCTCATTAATTCTTTTTAAACATTTGCTCAAATACACCAAGCTAGATGATTAGCACACTAATTTACAAACACACCAATTTTAGAATTATTTTCTTGATATATGGCTTTCCAATTCATTAATGAATAAGATACACTCATTATCAAATTACTTTTATTCGTTTTAGGATTAATAGATGCAAAGATAGACTTAAACAAATCACAGATTTTCTTATTACAAGATATAATTCTTCTTAAAAATCAGCAATAAGTCAGTCGTACCACATTACATTCAATTTCTATGCCTGTAAAGTTCATGTTGCCTTGTGTGTTAGTAATGCTTAATTTACTGCAGTTGCAGCTTATTTCTGCATGACTATGAGCAAAGTTAGTTAGCCATGTATGTAGACCACTTTGTTATACCGTCATATAGATCTTAGTTTTACCTGTACATATATATGTTTGTGCGCAATTATCTCGCCATTGACTGAACTGATTTTGATGCGGTTTTCAGGAAAGTGTTTGTTACATTTAGGAAAAAGTTTTAAATATACTAATAAACCGACCTCAAAAAAAAGGGATGTGAAGTCGGTTTTTTTAAATATATAAAAGAATTATTTTATTACCAATAAGTCTCAATATCTCTGAAAATAAAGCCATTGGCACAAAGTAATAAAGCCATTAAATGTAATGGTTCGTCATAAAAAGTTAATGGTATTCTTGAGAGCCAGGAAATGTTATTTCGCGTGTCTTCTTACAATTTCTGTTAGGTTGTAGGCTCGGTACAAAACCGACACACAGTCGACAAGCGTTTATTTCGTATTCCTATACTAAAATTAATACTATAAATCTCGTGAGATATACATATAAAGTTAATCATGTTTAACGGTTATTCATCTGACTGTTAACTCAACCAGTTTCAAGTCATTCTTAGAGCCCTTAGTCATCCACCTCAGATGGGGCCTGACAGGGCTGTTGCCGATACGGAGCCGCGGAAGACTTAACAGGTTGCCGGGGCTCCGGCTCGAAGTGCAGGAGTAGGAACGAAGTGGTTTTTTGTCAGTAAGAGTCTGACACTTCCTCCCGCCTCACCCAGGCGGGAGAAGTCATTCGATGATTTTCCCACCTTTAAAAAAAACTAAAATTAATACTATAAATCTCGTGAGACATACATATAAAGTTAATCATGTTTAACGGGTTTCATCTGATTGTTAACGAGGTAACTCAACCAGTTTCAAGCCATTCTTAGGGCCCATAGTAATGAGCAGCAGCAACTAGTCATGTCACCACGCCAAACAGTTACGTAAGTCCCCGTATAACATAATGAATGGGTACTAAGGTGTCCATTTTAAATTAATTCGTTATGTTATGGAGTTGTTTACATGGAAACCGCAACAATAGTCGTGTACACTACGTATTGTGTAAGTGTGAATCAATAATGGTAGCGAGGTTGCGTGAAAATGGCTTCTGACTGGGCTTAGGCTTCAAATCGCAATGACTGCCTAGGTATTTATTGTCAGAAACTTCGGAAACAGTGACAAAATTAGCTGCATGCATTAGAAGCAGGGTTAAATCTTTATAGTTATGCTAGTACTACCTGTCGCGGAGAACCTAACGGGAAACCGGGGCTCCGGCTCGATGTGCAGGAGAAGGAACGGGGTGGTTTTTAGTCAGTAAGAGTCTGACACTCCCTCCCGCCTCACCCAGGTGGGAGCAGTCATTCGATGATTTTCCCCCCTTAAAAAATAAAAAAACCCTAGTACTACCCAAGCATCCCTGCTAATTTCCTAAAGACAATGACGTCCGTCTTCAATAGTTAAGCAATATAATTACCGAAGTCTTTTTTTTAATGCTAGCTGAAACACACACACTTCGGCTTATAGATAGACACATAACAATAACTAAATCGATTCTTTAGTTGCAGGGTGACGATGTCACCTATAATACATACCCACAATATTTTTTAGCGATTAAATAGAAAGTTTTCACGTAACTTTACAATAGATGGTTGACCTCGGTTCTTTCAAGCACTTTCAATACCAAAATTCCAATGAATTCCACTCATAGTATTTAAAAGTTTGTAGTACTTTACCTACCTCAAACACTGTTAATGGGTTAAGGTTAAAACACATTAGGAGTTTTCAAGTTCACGCTGTACTACTCAAATATTTGTTTGGGCCCATTAAAATTGTTCAGACATGTTTTCATGCTAACGGAAATTTGTAATTTTGGTCAGTGGCGTGCACACCATACATGCAAATAAGCACTGCATACCCTACAAAATCATGGTAAACCTACATAGTCAAATACATAGTGTCACTCATAAATACGACATGAATATTTACTGACATCATACAGAGATTTCGTAATTTTATTGATATTTAATTTGGAAAATACTAACGCCATCTATAAACTGGTAACTAACGCCATCTATCGAAAAAATATTGAAGTACTACAACCACTTTCTACTTTCTTCGATATTGGAGCATCGCGCCAGTGGCGCCGCCACCTCACTATTGTGTGATGGTGGCGGAAGCATGTACTAATGCTAGCCGGTACATTTTGCTTGTTTTCTCGTGCTGATGTTGGATTTTTTTTTTGTTAGGTTGGTAATTTCTATACAACTGCAAAAGCACTGCTTCTTCGTTATCCGACTAATTTAGGAAGTCAACAAATCGTAGCGTTTGTTTGAAAATAGATAGGTATATTAATTTTGGTCAACTTATTGTTTACGTTTTTTTGGCCATTTTGTTTTGGTTATGTTTTTATGTGCAAGTGAATAAATTGTAATGTAATGAATTATAATTGAAATGAACTGTTAATTTACCGAAAATTATGTAAAATTATAGCTGTGAGCTCTGTGCTGGTGATTTGTGTTGTTCAATAAGTTAAATATGAGTGCGTTGTCCTTATTGTCGTTCGAAGAAGAAACGAAAATATTTCCAAAGGCGATTTTGCGTGTGTCGTATGTCCGGGCTAGGCGTAACTCAAAAAAGGTAATAATTTTATTATTTCTTTTAATAAACTACGATTTGCGATTATAGGTATAGTTTGTTAGCACTGGTGGTGTACTAATTTCATTATTGTTTTTAATATCCAGTCATCTTGATCTCGCTTTGTACGATTTTTCTATGCATTTAACGGTCAGTTTATACTGGTGCTACATAGCTTGATGGTCGCGTAACCATTTGTACTTCGCCGCTCCAAAGTAGGTACCTAGTTAATAGATTTAATTTTATAAAATAGATACCTAGGTATCTATGTTGATCAACTTTATACACGGATAGTTTGAAAATAATTATGTACCTAATTTGTTTATACAAATTAATAAAATACTTACTAAACCTAATTACCTACTCAAAATTATGATGTTTCGGGAGTTTTATTTTCCGAGATTAATGTAGACCAATTTTTTTTAATCATGTGATACCTTCTGCCTACCCTACTTCAAATCTCTGTGCACGCCTCTGATTTTGGTGTACACAGTAGTAGTAGTCTTCCAAACACTACTTGAACGTGTTTTAAAGCAAATAATCCTGCAAAGCTTTGATAAACTGTGTTCTAGCTAAAGGCCTAGTAAGATTAAATAGAATAGTCAATGTAAAGGTAACACATGCTCTAAAATTGCATGCTTAAAATGTTTTTATAATAACTATCGTGGGACATACTAAATTAACTAAAAACTGCGGGTTACACACGCGAATATACTGAGAAAAGCTCTACTAGTTTCGAACCACAGAGGGGTTCTTTCTCATGAGCAGCGTGCGCGGTCGCGGCGATGTCGCGCAGCTCATGAAGAAGAACCCCTATAATGCTTAAACATGTTCAAAAGTTGAACGCCTGTCTGCATGTCAAGCATGCCTGAAATGAGCATGCTAATTTTGTGCAACATCCCGACACACATGGTACTAAGTGACAAGTGGTCTACTGAAGTATACTATCGTGCTTGAAATAAGCATGTGGAACAATACCTCTAGTATGAAATCTACGACAGGTTTGCGACCGAATTGTCACGTCCTATCTATACATAAACTTCTTTATTCTATTATGTAGTATTGTTGACGTTTTTGTCGCAGATCTCCAAAGCTACCTCGCTCAGTATATCGACAGCTCAATGTACTCGTAATATCACCCCTCGGTAGTTGATTTGTTCACGCGAACTCTGTACCTGGCACAGATGGACGGTTTTTTGCCCCATCATGGTGTAAACGCGATACTCATTGAAGTGATTGAAGTCACGATATTATTGGGTAAACTACTTAAAAGTTGTGAAGAAGAGAGTTACCTCTTTAGCTTAATTATCCTATTATGTCTTAGAGTACAGTTTGTTATTGGCAAGTACATTAGAACTAGTATAGTATATCTCGTGAGTCGTGGTTGCCTGGAGGTTTAACACGCCCGCTTCTCATGTATACGGGCGCGGGCTCGAAGCCTACCAACGGCAAGTACCAATGTGACTTTTTTCGAGGTATATGTCCTTCTAAGCTTATTTAGACACCAATGACAAACGGCGAAAGAAAACATCGTGAGGAAACCAGGGCTAACTTATATTTCTAAATATAAGTTTGAAATTGTCAACCCCGCATTGAGCTAGCGTGGCGATTAATGCTCAAACCATCTCCGTATGAGGAAAGGCCTTTGGTCAGCAGTGGTCACTTATATATAGGCTGTTGATGATGGTGGACATTAGAACTAAAATATAATAATTCCTTCAATTATAAAACAAATATGCAAGGA